CAGGATTTTTAATACAAATATCAAGACAGTTCTATTATATGGGCGGAAACCTGGAGAACCACGAAAGCCATCATCCAGAAGATACAAGTGTTAATAACAGTTGTCTATGCAAAATACTTTGGGTCCGTTGGCCAGACAATATCAGCAACAACTTGCTGTCGAAGAGAACAAACCAGATTTCAATGGAGGAAGAAATCAGGAAGAAGAGCTGAAAGTGGCTACAGCACAAATTGAGGAAAGTACCTAACTGTGTCTCAAGGCAAGACCCCACAGGAATCCTTAAGGCCAAAAGAGAAAAGGAAGACCAAAGAACACATTACTCAGAGAAATGGAGACAGACATGAGAAGAATGAACAAGAATTGGATAGAACTAGAAAGGAAGGCCAAGGACAGAGTGGATTGGAGAAGGCTGGTCGGCGGCCTAGGCTCCATTGGGGGTAACAGAATTGAGTGGTGGCGCTTTTCTTTTTATTCTGTATTTAGAGACATGTAAAATCTTACTCAAATGTCTGTATTATTTTAACTTTGAGCACTATTTTTAAAATATCGAGTTGTTTCTCCGACCCTAGGATTACTTTCAAGGTTCAACATTTTCGTCGGTCTTGAATATCAATAACGTGTCGAATAACTGAAGGCTTACTCGAGTCACAGTGAAAATGTATGACCAACCAGATAATGCAAAAGTCACACATCTCGGTCGGTACGAAAAGTGGAATACCCCTCCGTTGCATCCAGGTATTACGACTGCTTTGATGACCGTGGAACATAAACGACATTATTACAGAAATACATTAGTGAGAAGAGGTATAGGAAACCGAATTCAACCACTACCGCATGAGCCATTCCATGGTATACAACTGACTGATGCGTGTTGTTTTCCCGTGACTACGACGAGGATCAGCGAACTGTTCGACATGCATGGACCTGACGGTGGGACGATTTGGCTAGAGCACAGTGACATTTCACAGGTCCTACAATCCTTTTACCTATTCTTGCCAATATTTTGCCCTGAACTCCTGTACAGTTAGCCGGTGAGACACTACAAATGAATGCTAATTTCTAGTTCTTGGGTCAGGGTAGGTTGATTCTACATACCAATCTACAATAATATTTGTGGAGATCAAGCTTTTCCCAGCCACACTCGAGTTAAGCCTTGTACTAATTTCAGACTTTGGTGAAGTATTCCGTGACGCAGAATGGGGGTCTACCTAAGAGTGATCATTCAAGCAGGTGCTATTCTTGGCTTTTTCTTTCTCCTCACTGTCGTCTGTTTCCCGTCACCCATGACAATCATATGGCGACTACATGAAACGGTGGCGACCCTATCCGGGTCTTCGAGTACTACTTTAGGAACGTAACCCCAAGCAGACAGTGACATTTTACACTTTATTTTCTGCAAAGGAGATCTTCCTTTTATATGATTCACGATCAGGTGTCTGGCATACATCATAACAGGGAGTATTACACAGACATATTCTTCGTTGTCAATAATAGTGTTCCTAGCGCAGCCAACATCAATTTTCTCGCGCGCCAAAGTCAGATTGCTCATAGCTTTCTGGGTCAGTAATATCTTACTCAACTAGCAAAACACATAATGATGCAACAAGTATTCGGCTATGTGATACAATATAGTAACGAAAAACAGGCACAATGAAAACTTCGATTCATCGTAAACTTCGTGGTTTTTCACCTTTTCCAGACATCCTGAAAAAGAGAAAAGGATTTCCAAGTGCATTTTGTACTACACTGGTATATGCGTAAGGATATAAAACGATCGAAAAACGGAAATAAACTGGCATATATGTGTTTGGTAAACATGCAATAGCAACGATTTTCGCACAGTTACGTTTTCTAAACTTCCGATTTTTGGTTACAAAAATTTATAAAAATATATGTGAGCACGGTAAGCAGAGATGGATGCAGGTACATCCAGCTGACGAGTCCCAAATAGAACGAAACGCGCGTCCTGGATTCCACTGCTAGCCACTATCCATCTCTGCTTACCATGCTTGTGAATTAAGGTATATCGAGGCAATACGCACAGTATGCACATATGCCAATTAGAGACTGACCAGTTGCAGTCCTAAACACATCGATGGGAAGATCCAAACAAACAATACTAAGTGTATATGTGAGCACGTTGCAAAAATGTTTTGTTTTGGTTTCTTTTAACACATGATACGAAAACAACCCAGGATAAAACAGAATATTATGCTGTTTTACGTGCTGTAGTCGTTCAAGTGTCCCGGAAACCTTACCCTTCTTCCAGAACGCATTTAAGTCGGTTTTCGGATACAGCTGAAGTTTTTTCGTGACTGTCAATTTTCGAGTAAGGATTCGTAAACGTGAGTCTTTCGTCGTTCATTGTACCGGATGAACATCAACATGATTAGGGTCTCCTAAATATGAAGCTTTGATGCGACCGACGCTGATGCTATCGTTATTTCCGTTCCTATCGATTATATAGTACTTAGGTTCACACTCGGGAACTTTGGAGGGTCCTTCGTTTGCCATTTCGAGATGTTATCGAAATTAATCTCTACGTACAAAGCCGTGTGTACTATATCGTAGGGCAGGTTGAACGAAAACATCAGTTGATTGCGGTCGAGTGTAGGAGGTTAGGTACATATTCATTGAAGATGGTGGACCCATAAATTCTCCTGGAACTCAAAGTGTCGTTCCATAAACGAGTTGAGCTGCACTGTATCCAATGTCAGCTTTCACTGCATTAAGAATGCCGAGTGAAACGGTCTACACAGCTTAAAAGATAAGAGTATCTATTTGAATCTGGTTAAGGTTCTACCAAATCCAGATAAACATGGTCGAAACAAGCATCGGTAGTTTTGAAAGAGACTAAGGGACATTTGTTCTGTCTAATCACCTAATGTTTCTGACAACTTACACACGATTGTGCCCACCCCCTCATATCTTTATCCATACCAGGCAGGCAAAATCATTCTTCTATGAGATTGACGTATGCATGAGCACCTGGATGAGAAAGTTTGTCCAACATATTGTGTCAGTAATGTTTCTGCACGACCATACGATCCCTTCCTGTAGATGTGTCACGTAGAAAGGGTTGTTGAGGATATCTCATGATGAAGATCAGTGTCTTCTTTTGAAGCTGTGTGAGTTTAAGAAGGTTAATTCCTTGGAAACTGTTTAAGGAAGTTATACGAGACAAAGCATCTGCAACTACGTTGTTTGTCCCAGAAATATGTTGTATATCTGAAGTGAACTGCGAAGTGTAATCCAGTTGTGATCAGTGGAAAGAGTGAATTCTCGACCTTGGTGGCTGTAAGTTTAAAACCAGTTCGTGCAGTAGGGAATTAGAATTGTCTGGAAAACCTTAATTCCTGCGCCAGTGTAGACGAGGTAGCCGACTATGTTTGTCGGCTACGGTTGCCGTTAATGCGGGCCGGCTGGGATGTTTCCTGAAGCGCTTTTCGTGTCTGTCGTTTTGGAGCCCGGGAAACTGCAGGGTTCTCTGCAATTTCGAGGAGACTTACTTTGCTGGTTATGGTACCAGAACCATTCAGAGTTATCTGTCTCTCGTGATATAGAGACAGATCGTTTTCGTGCAATACCCCTTCAAGGAGTGTGGGAGCGCCTACAATCATGATGAATATTAAGGTAACGTGTCAGAGTATGACAGAGGTCTGTGGCGTCTGAGGCTTTTCTTTGAGTGAATTGACCTCGGCACTAGAAGTTCTAGTGGTCTAAGGAATCAGGTCTGCAGATGCAGTCAGTTCGTCTGCAGCGTTGTTTTGTAATGTGACAAGAACTGCATGCACCTGATGGGGAGGCTTAGACAAGAAAAGTTGTCTAAGCAAACCATCGTCGAAAGTCCTTTGACTAATGGCCTCTCTTACTAGTAACAAAATGTCCTCTACTGGACCATGTTGCAGATTGTTGTTATTGGGGAGTTGGTCCAACCTTTGTTGATCGGTTAGATTTCTGTGTTTAAGAATAAACTTTTTTAGAGTTTCATAACCTTTCTAAACATCACTAATGAGCATACCAGGTGTGACGTACTTGTCGAAATCGCGCGGTAGTGCTTTCGCCGCTGCGAGGAGTTGTGTACGTCGGTCTGACACTCTACCCTCGTGGGAGCCAGCTTCTGAATGACAGAGCCATGGATGTAAAGTATCTCAATGAACGAGAAAAAATTATCCGAGAATATGAAAAAAGTATCACAATCTGTAAAAAAAACAATTAGGAAATAATATATGATGTTCCGACAAGGAACACACTTAAAGTTTACGGATAGGTGTACCAAATCACGTCGCGCTCATCACTAAGGACGCCACAGGTATTTGTAGTCTGACAACTTTACCAATTACATCCTTATATCCGAAGTATGCCAACCCCGTCAAACCAGACGTCAAAAATGAAGTTGCTCGAAGATGTATATATATATAAGGTTATCGGTATGTCAAGGAATGTTTGGTCTAGGTTGGCTATTAGTTGAAAAGGATGTATAGCACGACGTACCCACTCATGATCTGGTGCAGATGCTTGATCGAGCGCCATCAGCTAGGGTGTGTCCAGTAGAACTAATGCGGTCAGCATTAAAATGTTGAAGACTTACGGAGCTATTGATCTTGGAGATTTATTTACTGCTACACACACAAAGCCAGTAAGAGTTAGACCTCTTTTGTATGAGGTGGGACTTAAACGAATGCACCTCTTGTGGAACCACTTTTTGCACGCATCACATTGGATTCCATGATATACGGGGAAAACTTTGACTGTAACAATTTATTAATACTCTTGACAATTGTGAATATATTTAAAGGTTCAAAAAGTCGACAAAAATAAACGATATAATCACTAGTGTCAGAATCAACTAAAAAAAGAGTACTACAAGACGAACCTGAAGAAAATTTCAGACGTTAACCGAAATAATTCAAGTTAAAGTTGTCTAATTTTGCCTTTGATCCAATAAATACACAAAAGTAAAGTTGATTCACAATAAGCCCCAGATCTCCGTCCTTTTTGAAAAGCGCGCCAATATTGTACTATTTGAAGGGACTCTGTGATGGTTCAGTTTAATTAGTATTGAAAATCTCGCTAAATACATCAGAACATGTTAAAAGGATATCTCAAAAGTGTTGTAGACCTAGTGAAGTAAATTATGATGACGTAAACCTTTATATTTATTCATTCTTAGCAATCTAACTGAACCAGCTGATTCTGCCGAGAATCTAAATTCTGTTGATGATGCGGAAGTTCTTGGGGAAGGACGTAAAGATCAGTAAGTGTCGATGTTATTATGCCGAAGACTCAGGAATAACGTTAATTCCGATGGACCAGGAACAGTGGATTCTGTGGCCATTTCGCAGAGCGTTGAGAATTCAGAATCAAGTAGTGTACTCAGTTGGATTCCAAATCTACTAGCAGCTAATGGTGAGGTGAGAGCTCTCCTTCAACTCTTTCCCATAATTGACTAGGCAAGCTGCTAGTGTCTTGACTAGTTTTACTTAGATTTAAGCTTGTTTGTCTTTCAGCTGTAGTTTTGTAAAGCTCCAGACTTCTTTAGGCAGGAATAACGAGATGATTATTCCTCATATTCTTCCTTTTGACAAATCCTAAAGTTTTCATCCTATTAGGGTGGTGGGTCACAGTATGTTAAGTACTTGGATTATGCAACAAAATGCAGTAGTACTTCAGACAGTTTTTAGTGAACCAGTCTAAGTAAGTCTAGTAATCTGTATAAACTGTTTAAGGTTACATTTACAACTTTTTGTGATAAGAATAGTTTATCAAACTCACATTTAAAGCAGAATATGAACGATTAAATATCCCATTATTATACAAGTGAACCAGTTCCCTATTAACGTTCATGCAAAATAACGTAAGATAGTTGTCAAAATTTATTATAATATTGCCAATTTAAATTCGTTGGATAGTATTGATTTCAGGTCGTAATATGTATCCTTCTTGGTTGCTCGGTGTGTGTTTTTAAGGGTCTATAAAGGTATAACATGAAGAAACCATAATAAGCATTGTTTTACGTATTTCATGGTTGTCTGTTAAGGCAAATTTGTGTCATTTCGAGGCAGTCTTCTCAAAAAGGTGAACCGTACTGTCAGGTGAACGAGAAAAATACACAGATTATATGTTCTCGTTGCTGATTTTATTCTCCTGCTTCTATAAAGAGAAACTCAAAAATGGAATGTATCCCATAATATAGATAAAAAGTTGTTTAATTCGAGGATGCAAGAAAAGATTGCTGGTATTTCATGTAAATAACCTAGCGGTAATTAGACCGTACAAATGTGAATGTGTTTTCATTGGCCTTTGATGATATAGCCATCTAGTCTTCATGTTTATTCTCATATAAATAGCAATCGTAATCCTCCAAAATAGAAATTGCATAGCAGAAGATCAGCATTTTAGACCCATTAATATATTCTTCTTAAGAGATCTTGTTACCATTCTAAGTAAATAATATCATACTGATCCTAGTGTGCTCCGTTTAGTTTTGTATATTACGACATGGACATGTTCCAGTCTTTGTAATTTGACAGCAAAGTGCGAAGTTCGAATCAGTCAAGACAGTGTTCCTCCGTGTTCAGACACTTAGCCTTCACCCACTCCTGTCACATCCAGAAAATATATCTGGTTGAGATAACCAAGTTTAGAGAAATGATATTCGGCTGGGACTAATTTGCGATACGTGGGAACAGAGACATGTAAACATTATTTCCCTCCTTAAATTCTTACTCTTTATTTATTTATTTATTTAAACATATATATTGGTACAAAAGGGCACCACATACATATGCGCCACACAAAATAATAAAGGTAGGAAGAGAAGGGATGAAAAAATAAGGCGGACTGAAATTTACAACCAGAAGACTCTTTCAGTTAAGAAAGTTAGAACCACTCTTTATGTAGAAAGTAAAAGAAGGTCGCAGCAGGATCGCCACTGGCTTCTATTCTGAGCCATATCTGATAACGTCTCTAGCCACTGTGTTGCACCATCTCTCGGACCCCAGCCAGGGAGTCGTGAAGGACCAACAGAAGCTAGCCCTTTGCAGCTTTCTTTCATGCCACGACACCATGTCATACACTGGCCTCCTCCGCTTTTTCCAACCAGTCTCAGAGTCGGCAAATAATGCACGACGTGGAAGTCTCTGGGACGACATTTGTAAAACATGTCCAAGCCACGGAAGTCGGTGTTTCAAGATGGTGACACCAATTGAATTATTGTCTCTGCGCCCGAACACACGATGCCGAACCTCTGCATTACTAACATGGTGTTGCCACTGTATGTCAGCAATCCTTCGGAGACAACGATGATCGATCAATCTGCTCACCATCCAGGGTGAGTACAGGATGAGAATCCTGCCAGTCGTGTAGGAGTACTTTGCACTTGGAGGGTGCAAAGCACATGCCGTACCTGCGGACACTGATTGACAACTGATTAAGTGCGGATGGCATGCCTTGGGCATTATCGCACAGTAAGACAATATCATCCGCATACTCGAGGTCGAAAGGTCGTTCTCCAGGCAACATATCCACACCGCCATTACTTACATCCATCAGAGCTGTTTCCAGGATGTCATCGATGGCAAAGTTGAAGAGGAATGGTGAGATCGGGCAACCCTGCCTAACTCCACTACTCGAATGAAACAAGGGAGAAAGGTGGTTGTATGCCCTCACTCTGCCTGAGGTGTTCGTATACAGGGCCTTTAAGATGTTAATGAACTTTTCAGGCACACCCTTCTTCAATAGAAAATCTCAGAGAACAGTCCTGTCCAACGAATCGAAGGCAGCCCTGATATCAAGAAACACTACGATTGTTGGCCTGCGATAAGTATGACGGTGTTCTAACATTTGGCGGAGGGTGAAGATGTGGTCAATGCATCCTCGACCAGAACGAAAGCCAGCCTGCTCCTTGCGAGTCAATCGTTCTCGGGTTTTAAACAACCTACGAAGAATGACAGAAGCCAATAGTTTGGACGCAATCGGAAGTAGACTTGTCCCCCGATAGTTGTTACAGGAACAACCTGAACCCTTTTTAAAGATAGGGACGACTATTGACTCATTCCATGATGTTGGAACACTTTCATGCTCCCAAACCTTTGCAAATAACACCGTCAGTTCCTTAGTCAGAAAGTCACCACCATCTTTAAAAAGAGCCGGAGGTAAGTCATCTGAGCCCGGTGATTTGTAGCGTTTCAAGAGTTGGAGTTCCTTTCGGACTTCCGCCTCGTTTGGTGGATCAGTCGTCACCGGCCATGGTGGGCAGGACAAACTGGTTGATGTTGCCGGAGCAGCAGGCCAGTTGAACTGCCCTTCGAAAAAATCAGCCCATCGTCCAAGACGTCGAGAGATGTTAGTGATTGGCATCCCATCATCCTCGTAGATTGTTTCACTCACACCAGACTTCTTGCTGCCAGTGGCTCGGATGAGTTTGAAGAGCTTCCGGCAGTTACCAGATGCAGCTGCTGCTTCCATCTCATTATCACGCTCCGACCACCAGGCTTCTCGGTCCTTACGCAAGCTTTGCCCGATTTCATTACGTAACAGCCTTCGTTTGTGGTCAAACTCACGATCACCCGGAGTAGACCGACGGGCTTCGATGAGTTGTAAGGAGCCAGAAGAAACCCAGTGATTATAAGCGGGACTCCAGATAGGTACTCCAAAAGGAGCGGCAGTCTAGTACACAACCACGCCAGCGGTAGCTGATCGCGATGTGATCAATCTGAGTCCAGGCTTGATATGCAGAGGGAGGACGCCAGGTGGCACACCGGCGATGACTGTGCCGGAAGTTAGTGCTAGCCAGAAACAGGTTGTGGTCTGTGCACAGTTGCAGCAAACGGTCCCCGTTATCTGTCCTGCGACCAACAAATCCCCATCGGCCACCTAAACGACTCTCCTCTGTGCCTAGACGCCCGACCTGAGCATTCAAGTCTCCGGCTAATACTACAATATCTGTCGAACGCGCTTTCTGGAGAACTGTTAACTGATGGTAAAACTCATCCTTGATTGCATCCGGGTTGCAATCTGTCGGGGCATAGGCGGAGATGACAAAAAGACACCGTTTCTCACGCCGGTTTCTTCTCACTTTGATGGAACTTTCTAATCTAACAGCACATAACCGACTGTTAATGGGGATCCAATCGATTAGTGCTGCCTCAGCTCTAGCGTTTAGTGAGACACCAACGCCAGCAAGACCAGATGAAGATGCCACAGGGTCCCCGGATAAGCGCACGTGAAACAAGCCTTTTCAAGCGACAGATGGTGAGCAAATTTGTAGTACTTCATCAGAGTCTTGAATACGAGTCTCAGGTAGACAACAAACGTCGATATTAAGAACTTTTAAAGACATAGCCAGCCCCATCTGTTGTCCGATCTGCATTAGTGTGCGAACGTTGAAGGAGGCCAGCTTGAACGGCGTACGTGGTTTCAGAAAGACTGCTTCAGTATTCGTAATCGGTGGAAGCATTCACTTTCGACCAGACCGTGACTGGAGATCGTTTAGATAGGACAGAGTTTCCACCATGGGCGAGCTACTGCATAAGTTGTAAAGGAAGGATACACAATTTTGGAATAAAGGGAGTGAAAAAGCGACGTATTAAATAATAGTAATAATATTAATGGTAATAATAATGATAATAATAGTGTAAATTGTCTTGCTTCTAGTATGAGCGAGAGTAGTATCGTCAATAGAATTCATCATTTCATTTATTTTTGTGTAGGCTGTGATACTGCCCGGGTGCCGAAACCGAAGCAGGTGGTTTTCTTAGGGGGCCACACCACGAGCCTTTGATGTGGAGGTCTGATCCACAAGGCAGTGGAGCATCGTGAGGAGATACAAATCCTTACTTTATATTAGTATTTCAGTTCAACAGTACAAACAACCGTTATTAGGAACCAATTTATGGAGTGCTATGTCCACACGATTGGAGCAGATCACCTGTGCCACACTCCCTATATGGGCGCAAGGTAAATAATTTAGATCAATAAGCAACTTTTTGTAGTTTGTCACCGGAATATCAAATATTAGTGTATGAGGTTTTCAGAAACCCAGCCAAAGTTTTTTGTCGTCTGATCTATGTTAAAATGCAAGATTTGAGGGGAACAAGTTTAAGTTTCATACACGTTCCTAGAATAGTTGGATGGGGTTTCAAATTACGTGAAGGTTTATGGAAAGTATCCGTTTAGTAACTGTGAACGATATAAGTAAGCGGAAACTCAATAGTCAACTATAAAATGAAGTTGACAAAAATGGGAGGGCAAAAAAACTATGTAAATTTATTGAAAGATTTAATAAATGAATTGCATTTTAGTTAGTGTAAGGTTTCAAAAAAGCCACATGATTGCTTCTAAACCCTTATCTTTCATGCTATCGTAATTCTTTTATGGACTTTGAGGCTGCTGAAATATTAAATTCATAAGGCATTTAAAGCTTTAGTTTATAAATTTCGGGAGTTTTTTCCTCGTAATATTTAGTGATCTGTTGTATTCAGCTATGTATTTCGGCACTAGATTGTGTAATAGCAATTTCCGTAATCAGTGATTGGAGATAATAAACGATATGATCGAGGATCGGTCACAATGGCCCAGAAACTTTGTCACTTCCTTTAGGTATCAAGTCTCATTTTTGTCATAGGATCATATCATTTGCGTCTAATCTTCCCCACTACCACTGAAACTGTTACTGTTTCTATTATAGCATTTGTCTTGATAATTTCATCGCTCTGCGTTGAAATGGTGTGACAGTTTAAGTCGATGCACATATGTGCCATGTTTTATTTTACTTATGACTGACATTTAGTATTCAAAACCACGTACGCCGTTCAAGCTGGCCTCCTTCAACGTTCGCACACTAATGCAGATCGGACAACAGATGGGGCTGGCTATGTCTTTAAAAGTTCTTAATATCGACGTTTGTTGTCTACCTGAGACTCGTATTCAAGACTCTGATGAAGTACTACAAATTTGCTCACCATCTGTCGCTTGAAAAGGCTTGTTTCACGTGCGCTTATCCGGGGACCCTGTGGCATCTTCGTCTGGTCTTGCTGGCGTTGGTGTCTCACTAAACGCTAGAGCTGAGGCAGCACTAATCGATTGGATCCCCATTAACAGTCGGTTATGTGCTGTTAGATTAGAAAGTTCCATCAAAGTGAGAAGAAACCGGCGTGAGAAACGGTGTCTTTTTGTCATCTCCGTTTATGCCCCGACATAATGCAGCCCGGATGCGGAAGCCAGTTGCGGTCCTGTTGTAAATGTCTTTTCCTTGGTTCATATGAGTGAGAGAAACCTGTTTAACTGGGAGAATTCATGTTGGTTATATTTTGATTAACTGAACTACTCCCATCGTTATTATTACTATTATTATTTTCACTCACTCACACAATCATTCTTTTTATTTTACATTCCTTTTTCTATCTCTTCACAGTCTCATTTTTATTGTGTGTCACATATATATTTTAATGTTCCTTTGTATCAATGTTTATGTGTTAAAATAAAAGGTTTGATAACTGAAACTGGCACACTTTTTCAGCTTTTGGAGTTTCTACATTAGTTTGAGGGATATTTTCGGTAAAAATAGTTTCTTATTAGAATCCGAAATATGTGGTTATCTGGTATTAAGTTAAATAAGATGTTTTCTGTTTTTAATGGGAATAATGTATCTTTGTGGTATAGTCTAAGCACTTTTCCGTTTGTCTATTTCTACAAATATTAAATAATGAATATATAGTTTTATCCTGTCGTTTTTTACGCATTTTAGAACTCCATATTGTTCTACATGAACTCACTTGCGTCTATGGGGATGTAAGTTATATTTTTACCAAATATTTTCTGGCACGCTAGAAATCCAAGTGATGAACATGAGAAACAAGTCGATCAGGAATCTGAAAAGTCACTAGTTATAACCGAAGATATTTCGAAAATTGAAGTGTATGTTGGACTATTTCATACTTATTCCAATCTAACTTTTTTCATTAAGATCTGAAGTATGTAAATCACAAGAAGATAGCAGATTGATGACACATAATATAAATTGTGATTGGACGGATAGATTTTCAGTCAAAACTTCACATGTAAGTTTATAAAAATCAGAGATATGTGGTAAAGTTATCGATATCACTCATTATTGTATACAAACGTAAACATTCATTCCTTCCTGAAATATTTTTCATTTGACCACCCTTAATTTGTGAATATTAATTTTGTATTACAAATACTGCAGTTATAAGCTCAAAAATTTTGTGGAATCGACTAGAGTTCATACCAATATACGATCATGATCCGGTTGATATAAGTTGACCAACAATATTGACAGGTTCATTAGCTTTACAGATATGATCGATAAACTAAGACTGAACTTTTGTGGTTGAGTTTGCAATGAGTAGTATAAGCGTATATAAATCCAAAGAAATGTAATGTCTAACCAGAGGACTTCAATTCGAAGTACAGCATTTATAACAGAGCATTCACGTCGCTAGTCATGAATCAAGTAAACACACATTTAACATTAGCAAGTTAAAATGTTTATATGTGATTATATATAGTGGTGGCGTAACTGTAACGTCATATGGATTGTGGAATGGTGGACTCCACATAGAGGGAAAATATACTAGCATAAACCATAAAACATACACTTTTGTTTTTGAATGCATTGAAATTCTTTGAAAAGGATTGCACGAACATTACATATATCCCTACTTATCCATAATTGATACCAGTTACAATAGTGACGAATACCAGTCATGTCATTGAAGATTATTAAAAAATTCCGTTGGTTTTAAAAATGTAGATTTTTCTCCGGGAAATAGTTAATTTCTTACCACTTAACTTCTCAAATAAATCCAACCATACAGTGAGCGCTGTCTGTAATTTATTAATTTAGTACCTAACATCCAAAAGACCCTGCTGTTGGAAAACTCTTACTTGAGCTATGAACATTTCCCATTTGTCCAAAAGCAGCAGTCACTCTGTCATCTTAATTTTATTGTATACGTGGTAGATTTGCTTTTTCTATCATAGTCGTCTTCTCAGCTAGAAATATTTTTAAGAGGTAGCATCAGTGTACTGACATTTTCACCCTCCACCCCTCATGTATGTTTATTGATGAATCCAATTTACTCAGATTGCTTAGTTCTAGAGATTACTTTTTCTAACCGAAGCTTTTGACGGTTGAAGATTGGTGGCATGGCGCAAAACTAATCTCAGAAGCATTCTGTATTTTTTTATCTTCCTTTAAATTTTAGATTAAGTTTCACTTACAATTTTCCATCCATCGATTGCAATTGTTTTTTTTTGAACCGTACTTCCCATGTATAGATTTGAATCCATCTATATAGCAAACCCCAACTTTAAACATAAAGAATGATGTTGTCCAACATGGTGTCCCCTGAAGTCGTCTCAGCGATAGACTTAAATAGATCATATTGCCATCAGTCATCGTGGGAAAGAGGCTCAGTAAAAGAATGTCGCCCATTCTAGAACACGTGTTTAGACTTTGATAATGCTCTAGTGTCTGAGTCTTACCGGATATAGGAAAGCCACATCTCGACGATGAAAAAAAGCAATAATATATTTCACGATGGGTATACTGTGCAGCAGTTCGTTCTCTTCTACTTTACGGCTGCGAAACGTGGCCATTAAGAGTAGAAGATACTCGGAAGCTACTAGTATTTGACCACCGACGCCTTAGAAATATTGCTCGCATCTGCTGGGATCACCGGGTAAATAATAGTGAGGTTAGACATAGGGTATTAGGGAATGATGATAAATCAGTTGATGAGGTTGTGAATCTTCATCGACTGAGATGGTTGAGCTACGTGTTACGTATGCCTGAACACCGATTACCACGACGCGCAATGCTGACTAGTATTGGGGATGGTTGGAAAAGAGTTAGGGGCGGTCGAACCAAAACGTGGCATCAGAGCTTGAAGTCACTACCTTCTAGTCTTAGCTATGTTGGTAGATGCAAACTACTTGGTCGGGGTCCGTGTAACTATCGTAATCAATGGTTGTAGACTCTAGGTGATATAGCTCGTAATCGACCACAATAGCGTAGGTGTATACACTCTTTATCTTCCCTTAAACCTTGAGATTAAAATTGCTTCATATCTTTCTTTCTTCCTGTACTATGTCTTTATATGCAATCTCACTTTTATATATTGCCACCACTAAACTAACTACTTCTATGATTTCGGTGTTGATCTTGTTTTGCTAATGAGGTATGGCAACTTGGACCGATGCATATATGTGCCTGGTCCTATGTTGTAGGTGACTGACTGAATCAATCATGAAAGTGATATCCAAATGACAATGAAAACAGCAGTGCGATTTACCCGTAACCTAAACCAAAAGGTTAAATGATATCACTGGGTTTTCGTTGCATCGGTAGATGCTCTGAAACTCATTCCATCAGGCTCTGAACACGATAGAGCAAAGGCAACTGAAAAGTAGGCTAACAAAAAGCCTGCACAATGATCGTGAGCAGTGGTGGCCAGCAAAACTAAGAAATGGAAAAGACAACATCAATAGGTAACCATGGATGAATAATGAGGCTCGTCAAGGAAATGGATATTAAAAATCCCTCTTTCAATGAGATCTCGGAAAACGGAGGACTGTTATTTATTCTCAATCAAGGAGATTCGACCGATGGATGAAACACCCCAGAGAATAGTTCAACTGACCTCCAACCAAATATTCAATCTTCAGGTTTTAAAACACAAACAAATCAAGCCATGACTGTAGTCGCATACTTTAACCTTAAGGCAGCGTTCATTTCCATTGATTGAAAGGTTCTATGGCAGTGTAAAACAAACCCTCCTATATCACAAGCTTTATTTCACTGATTCTCTTCTTTATTTTACGATAGATATTTCACTCAATATGATTTTAATGGTGAATCGATGTTTCTGCACCTAATTCAGTCTTCAGTCCTATCAGGTTAACACATGTATCAAATAAAGCCTTGTGCTTTTATGCTCTACCGCAATGTTCAAATTTTCGAATTTGTTACAAAGAAGACTTATGGATAGTTAGCCTACATAAATATTAGAATTTGCCTTTGATTATTAAGAAGTTAAAAACAGGGAAAAGTCACGTTACTTTTTCATAAATGCTTATTACTTATGAAATTCAACTTTGTTTATCCAACATTTCAAAAAATATTCTTTAACACTAAGGAGTTGACCTATGCACGGAGGCTGGTGTAGACAATGAATTTATACCGCAATTGCTTTAATTTCATTTTAATTCGGGGATTACATATCGCGAACAAATCTGTACATGGTAAATGAATTGAATAAATAAGATAATTGTTCTGTATGAATTTGTTCGACCACCTCCGCAATAATAATTATGAATTGAAGTCATCAATCTTCCTTATCTTTCCTTATATTATTTTTATTTAAGGTTTGGGAACAGATTAAAAAGGATTTTAATGAAGTTGTTCATTCTGTCTCTGAACCAAAAGATGTTGTATATCGTACTGCTTCTTCAGTTCGTGATCGTATCACAGCTGCTGCAAATACAGTAAGGAATCTAAATCCTAATGAATTTCTGTTGCCGGATAATGAGTCGCAAACTAATCAACAGTTTACAAAGACGGGAAATATCGTTAATGATGGTAAAAATAAAGCTGTATATGATTATTTTGAAATTGATTTTTGTATGATTGATCCTTGTAATAGTTAGAGTATTTTTTTAAATGTTGTAAAGAATATAACTGATCCTAATGTACCAAACAATAGTCATTTCTGTGTACACTGATTCTAAACTCAGTGTAGAGTTATAGAATGTTCAAGGTAAGATATTTATACCGAATCATAAAGTTTTGGGGTTAATTTACTGACTGATATGTTTCAGTTTGCAATCAACAGTTTGATTGTCATCGTACTTACTTACGCCTGTTACCCTTCATGGAGGAACATAGGCCGCCCACCAGCATTCTCCATCGAACTCTGTTCTGGGCAATTCTTTCCAGTTGTTATTCATCCTTTTGATGTCTGCTTCCAATTGTCAACTCAGTGTGTTCTTGGTCTTCTTCTTTTCCATTTCCCTTCAGGATTCCAAGTTGGGGCTTGCCTCGTGATGCAGTTTGAAGATTTCCTCTATGTATGCTCTATCCACTTCTAGCGTTATTTCCTAATTTCCTCTTCAGTTGGGAGCTGCTTTGTTTTCTTCTACAGTAGGCTGTTGCTGATGGTATCCGGCCAACGGACACTGAGTATCTTGTGTAGACAACTGTCTATAAATAGTTGTACTTTTTTATTTTCATCGTAATATTTATTAAATTGATATAAAGTTTTGTTACAATGAACTATTCCCAGTAAATTGATATTTTTAATCAAATTCCTGACTAGAGAATAATAGCATTTTAAGTAACAATAATGTAGAATGTTAAGTTCTATATGATCAGTAGATATTCGGTTGCAAACTGGAGTGATCTTGTTTTTCTCTAGACACTTATTGTGTATAGATTAGTGTACTTGCCTTTGAGTCATACTTTAAGCAGTGAAATCTGGCGTTATTACCTGGTTCTTCAGATTGGAGTAGGTGGGGCGGGTTCGAACCCATTACTTACTGGCTAAACGTTGAAACCTTTGATCACACCCCCCTCTACAAGCGATTTTGTAAACAGTGTACAAGACAGAAAACAAAACGATACCAGAACAGTCTGAAATCTAGCAAAATCGTCTCTTCAAAATCCAAGTTTGAAGCGGTAAAATTTCTACAATATTCAGTCATTAATGACTGTTAAAAATAATGATGTCGTACTTCTACTAGATTATATTTTTAGTTATGTTCACAGGAACTAAAATATACTGATCATTTTCCTCGGTAAAGGAATAATTACACAATTATCTGATTCTATACCTGTGTATATACGGTTGACAAGAACTTATTAATAGGTTTCTAGTTACTGTATCAATGTCCACCGTACTTCATCCTGGATATAAAAGCAACCCACGGTCAAATAAGATGAATTACGCTTTCCGCAAGACTGCAAAACTGACTATCTGATCAATATACGATGAATAAAATAGTGACGATAACGATCATTTCTTTCTAAATAATAACATATAACAAAGTTGTTAATTACTGGTCAGATATTTTAATGGTAATAAATTATTTTTTCTACTTACAATTTCAACTGGACTACTATCATTCAATACAAGTTGATAAGTTGAAAAAGTACACCCGAGTAAATAAATAAAATTTTTTATTTAAAACCATCTAAATACTTTAAAGACTAAATTATAATATCAATGGATAAACTGTAAGGAATTTGGTAAGCAGAGATGGATAGTGGCTAGCAGTGGAATCCAGGACGCGCGTTTCGTCCTATTTGGGACTCGTCAGCTGGATGTACCTGTAAGGAATTTGTCTTATCTTCAGATTATAATACAGTAAGAAATCGTGTATACTTATATAAACGAATTGGGTTTAAAAAAATCCTATAACATTAAGATTTTGGGGATTTGAATTTAGTTTGTCATACGAGATTGAAAAATTTCAGAGTAGCAAGTTAAGAAAATCTCTTTTTAGGGAAACAGAGTCATAACTAAACACCAATATCCTGTCTTTCTTTATGCTTAATACTAATTGAATTATGGTCATATTTGAAAATAAGAGGTCAAAGCAGTTCCAGTCCATGAATTCAATAATCTCTAGGTTTTCCTAACGCTCAAGTTGTGTTTGTAAAGACAGTTGGATTTAGTGATGCACCCCTGAATGATGATATGGGTTGGAATAGGTCTTAAACATCTTATTACTACCGTTGATTATTCTTTTCTTAAATATTGGCCCACTTTCATACGTATTCTAATGTCTTCTCATTCTTTTGAATTTTTTTGTTTGTGTTTTACTGTTGTTTTCAATGTTCACGAAAGGCTCTACAATATCTGTCTGTTCATAGTTATACTTTGCTAATCAATAATAACTATCTCTATGACATTAAAGTTGTGTAGAAAGTAGTTAAAACAATCGTATATGAGTAAGTGACACTAATTTCATCTTCACAGATAAATGAGTCTTAAATATTTGCCTTAATATTTTAAGCTAGTTTTTTCACTCATCAATCTATCAATAAATATAGTGTCATGTAAGAACTTTCGTCTAAATTCGAAGGAATAATCTCACAGTATTTACACATCGAGTTGATGTAAGACATTAAGGAGAAAGAATGTATTTGTAGAATCTCAGCAAATGAATTTGAAGTAGATCCAAGGTTTTGCTTGGCAATCTGGTTCAAGCTTTTTTAATGAAATATAATCCAACAAAAATTATGGAATATCATTACTATCAAATATTATATTCGATAATTTCGATGTTTGATTATATTTCTTAGGAAAAGCTTGAACCAGACTGCCAAGCAGAACCTTGGATCTACTTCAAATTCATTCGCTGAGATTTTAAAAATACATTCTTCCTGTTGTGACTTTATAAAAGAAAACCGTTGCCGATTCGTTATGATTATAAAACAAGAAGGCTGTATCCAATTTGTTATGATTTTATGTCCGGTTTTTATCACGTGAATTTTCCCACCAATCGAAATACGACCTTCCTAATCTTAACACAGTATCAATTCAATGACATTCAACTGGCATGAGCAGTTTAGCGTCCTTATTGGTCCCTTGTCTGCATGGCCCTTCCATTTGAGTCCAAAAACACCAATTGCAGCTTCTGCTATGCAGATCATTTATTTCAAGTTTACTCGGCTTTTATACTAGACAGACAAACCGCATCACACCATTAAATATTTGTACAAGATCAAACCAAATGTGGCTGTGAACGTGGGAGACAATAATCAATAAATTGAGTATAATTTAGGAACAGTAATTCGTATAATTACAATCCATAGGTCAAAATGAAGCCTATAATAAAATGAATATAGATATACACAATCTAGTTGCTCAATAGTTAAACAATAAGAGTTACCCGTACTCATGTCTTCGCTAGGGTATAACACTTCCTCCCTAAATATGGTGTCAGTAGAACTTTTTTTTGTACTATTCTATGTGTTAATTATTTTCATCTTTTCTTTTGCAGACTTAACAGCTTTACCACCAGCATTGCCTAGTTTATCGAATATTAAACAAGATGTATCCCAGTTGGTTGATTCTTTCTATAATGGTTTAATGTCGACTGGCACGTATTTTGGCTTAATAACTGGAGAAAATCAATGTAAAGATAAAAGTAAACACCAAGTATGTTGTCTTTATTTTGTTGAAAAGCACAGTGTTGAGAGGAACTAGTTTATTATAGTTATTATTACAACTATAACTGTTGTAGTTAAAACTCGGATGAATAGATTTTCAAAATAGTATGAATGGTTTTTAGAAATTGACAAATTTGTGTTTACTGTTTACATCACCAACTAATCCTAGAAAACAATTGAAGCGAGATGATCCTCGAAGTTCAAATTAGAAGCCATTACTAGCGAAGTTCAGACGTATCAGGAGTGAAACAGTCACTCACCAGTGACATTGAAAGATGGTCGCGCAGTATTGTGAATCGATTAAGGTTAGAAACGTGAACCACTGGATGTCACCTCAATGGTCTAAAGTTTGGGCTCTTGACGCCTGAATTTTCTGGGTTCGAGATTCCTATTAGGGTCCGGGATGCACACTTCCGAGAAGTCTTATACTGTGACAAAGCAGCTGTTTTATTTTTTCTTGTTTTCAGTGACTGTTTAGCTAATATAAGCTCGTGATATAAACTGCAATAAAGTTTAAAATGCTTATCCCACTATAGCATGTTTATTGGTTTTACGGTCCGATGTTTTGCATGCTAGACTCTATCAATGATTGAGTTAGCAGTAAGTATTTACTTTGTAAATTGAAGAGTGGTAGCTTAAAACTTATGAACAGACTCAGTGTATAGTTATAATGTGTAAGATTTTATATCGTCAACAAAATTAAAGTCACTTTTTTACAATTACAATTCCAAATTTTTATAATTTGCCTGATCTTATGTAATTTTGATCCAGAACCGATAATGTGCTCTAAGCATTATATGTTTACTTCTTTGATGTTCTTTATCATGATTACTTGAGATAGAGAGATTTTATCAGAGTGAAGTGGTATTTCATTAATTGCTGACTTCAAATATTCTTATTTTCTATTAGTATTTCATTCTCTTCTTCATGTGCTATCTTTTTGTTTAAATTTAAATAGTTTGAAGGACATAATTGGATTGATCATGTCAGCACCCTTTTTTTACTAATTATTATCAATTGAGATGTTGGTAATTCGTAAAACTTCCAGTAAATACATGAACTAAGTTTCTAGTAAATTTACTTCATGATATTAGCGTACCTCATTTCTATCCCCTTTGAAATGCTCCTTATTTGTAGAAATACACTGTTTGGGCTGCTAGGTCCCCAGAAATCACTCAGTAAACATCTTATTTTTCAAATTTTATTTTGGGAATTTGAATTTCTCATCTTCACTCCAAAAGCGCCCACTTGAAAGGACCCTAAATGTCATTGATTTGTTTCCCCTTTTAATACGCCATTTTGTAACTTTTTCCAAGGACATTTTTGTACTATGTATATGTGTATGAGTTGTGTGTTCGTTCGTTCGTTCGTGTTTCTGGCTGCGCGTGACATATATTTTTTTACCGGGGTGAATCTGGTCTTCTTTCTAGTTAGCAGGTCTGGGGCTCAGTGGAATAGCTTAGCTTGTCCTGTTATTGTGTTGCTGACTTCGTTCCGTTTCCCCGGTTCTAGATGGTATTGTAGTCTCTTCAAACGTAGCATACACTTACCCTATCTCCATTTTTATAGTTTATGACATCCTTAGACGTTCAAAAAGTCAGACTTTTCAGCTTTCTCGTCGCTTTATTTTGTAATAGAATGACGTACACAGATGAACTTAATCGTCTTGTAAAGCTGTTATCTTCATAAACTCTTATCAACACTACACAAACCTTTCTGAGAGTTTTTTTCGAACTTTTGACTTTGATTCTTATAAGGATTTATCATCAGACAAACGATATTTTATCCTTGTACACACATTAATTAGATTTATAATTCATTGCAGTGTTACCTGCTTGTGTTTCACTTATCAATTTCATAAACACTTGTTCTCTGTCTGGTTATTCTTGTTCTTTATTATTATTATTGTCAGTGCACATCTTTTGCACTATCGTTTTGACATATATATATATATATATATATATATATATATATATATATATATATATATATATATAAACTTCTTCATCGAAAGAATTCTTTTCAAATATTTACTCACAACTATATGTTTATTATTCTATAATCACAACTCATTTTATGATATTCCAATCAACAGTTGGAGCGGTAGCATGTTGGTTAGATCATTCAACTGTCAATCAGTGGATCACATGTCTGAATCCCCCTCTACCTTACATTTCGTCAAACAAATAAAATCACTGTTGGGGCAGCTTTTGAGAAGCATAATGCTGCCTCCAAAGGCTCAAAAGGAGCCGAAGAATTTCCACTCGATCAGAACCTGGCGGAGCTTTCCACAATATCAACGCGTCATGGTACGACTGGACGGTAGCATAACTTTCCTCCTTGCGGATTGGCTGAATCATAATGATGTTATAACGAACACCAATATCTATGAACACCTATGATTTTCTGTACATTTTTGATTCTTACCGAACAATCACTTCTCCTGCTTTTTCTGTCTTCTGGTTTGCGACTGTGGGGTTCTATACGTTCGAGTGTATATCGTATTCTGCGTTAATCAAGTAGCGAACGTAACAATCACTAATTTTGAAAAGTATTTCTTCGCCAAACCAAAAATTTAATCGATAAGAATGATATATTTTTAATATCCCAATGAATAGAATAATTTGGTTTTTAAACTTTCTGACGTCTCGTGATTTTGTATAAACCACTTCTTCAAAAAATAAAATTTCATCCGTGCTTTTATACATGCTACATACATTTGTTGTATTTCCTGACTAAAAAACCGGTAAACTATGTCATTTTTCTTCCTGATTATTTGTAAGATGTTCGTGCATGATTTTTCTAGTAGGTTTAGATTTAATTTTCACAATATATTTTTTGTTAAGTTTTCGTGATGACTAACTAGTGTACTTTGCTTTATTATTGTAAACGTAGATTATTGTATGACGGTATAAAATTTATATTCTAATGTAAATATTACAGAGAAATTCTGTTGTTTGCATAATATAAAATCACTATTATCGTGACACAAAACTGATGAAGTGAAATGTTCTTAATATGTTTGCGTCCAATATACATACATTTTGTCTGATAGGCCATTTTAATCAGTCCTTCAAAATTCGCTTGTACTAACAATCAACAGTAATTAACGATACATTTTTAGCAATCAAAATCAGGAGCATAACTGTTTCAATTTATTTTATCATGTATTATCGGCCTGCTTGAATCCCTGGGCTACCTGTTTCTGCCATCTAAATATTTCAACAAGTTATCTGGGTTTTTTAAAAATTTGTTTTAACCTATCATTATGTCTCTTGATCGCATAACCTATACAGGCGCGTTTATGAAAAGCTTACGTCCTTTCGCTGCAAAAATTACAAACAAGTACAATAAGAGACATTGTGGTGTTTGGCAATATGCTTTATAGAGAATAAACATTAATCAAATGTCGATTCCCGAGCTGCTTAACTCTAACTGTCGATCTCTAATTAACAAGGTGGACTATCTCCAATTTCTGCTAAGTCAAAACATGTATCGTAATTGTGGTGTCATCACAATTCAAGAATCTTGGTTGACTGACTTACAGGATGATTGCCTAGTATCATTACGTGATCTTAATATCTATCGTCAGGATCGATCAAACAATAAAAAGACCTGTGGTGGCGCAGTAGCTACTGTTTTTTTTTGTTTTGTGTTTTTTTTGGTAAAAAAAACTTGTTGAAATAACTCGTGCTGAGAATTCTATATTGTACCAGATTATAATATTGAATAAAGCCATTAATTATTATTATTATTATTATTAGATACTACTGTAATGAATAAAAATTTGAGTAGGGTAGACCAATATATTGTATTATGCATAATCACACACTGCATTTCTAGAACATTAAAATAATGCTTTAAATTTACCATTTACACAACTTCCTTGAATAATCTCTTACAAACTTCATCGTTTTTCCATTCATGTTGTTACTGTAACTGCTTTTGTTTTTCTTTATTGTTTCTTCATTTTCCTCTTTCTTCAGTAAGAATCCGACTTCCAGTTCCTAATACATACTAATTTTATCTGTTCATATAAGTAGCACACACCACAACAGTTTAGACATTTATGAAAGCTATTTCTGAACGTATCTGCAGCTGTTGCTTTGGTCGTATAGTCGAACTTAAGCTATGTTGTCTGGGATACTCGCTCCTCAAGTTCTTCCCATACCAGGCAGTTTGGTTAGAGAACGATAAAACCAAAACACGATGCTCCAGTTTCGAAAATGAATTATTGGTAATTGTATCAGGGTATGAAGATATCAAATTGTTTCGCTCTAGTAACCAGAATCTCCAGTCATGCCGTTTTTCTGCAGTTAGAGGGAGCAATTAAAATATCGACTTTAAAAATACCAAACCCCCTATTTCCCAGTATGTTTCCAGTGACAAATATAATGTTTGTAAAATGAGGGGCCAGCACAATACAAATCACTCATCAAGATGTCCTTTTTTAACCGTTCTTGAGCACTTATCCCTTTAACTTTGTAATCACCCCAATAAGTTTTGTGCCTTGCTGCATATGATTAGAAGATCGAAATATGCTCGTCTCAATTAAATTGTACTTTCATTTTTATAAAACATATGCTTCATTATAATAATAACAGGGGGAATTCGGTAAGTGATTTATCAGGTTTATACCTATAACTGACTTAGGAAATTCATTCTTTAAGTTAACACAACCAGTATCATAAGTCTGGTTAAAACATCTTATTCTAAAATTTGGTTAATAATTCTCCACATTTTAAAAATAAATGTTTATTTTACACGTCATGTGAATGTACAATGTTGTACATTTTATTCAAAATCCTTATCGATGTAACCGTTTTAAACAAATGTATTTGTTTTTTATTGTTAAATTTATTTGTGTGACTAATTAAATATATTTTTTGCTTTAGACTCGTCTTGATTTACTTAGGGCAGATCCTGCAACATATGAATTGGAACCACCAACGCCTCCAGCATCGTCTGGTATACATTCATATCATGATTGGAGATCAGCATATTTTGATGAGGATAATTGTCAACCAATGAATGGTGTCCTGTTAGCAAATGCTAAAAGTCCTGAATATAGTAATGTTCCGATTGAAGAGCTTACGCAAGCACCACATCCTAGTCCTGAAGAATTATTAGATTCATATCCTTTTATGCGAACATATTTAACTCAACTTGTTCATCCAGATGGTAAAGTTAATGATAAATCTATGAGTGATGCCGATTTCTGGTCAAGGTATTACTATCGTGTTTGGTTATTAGATTCAACTGAATTTCATAGAAAAAAACTTAAGGAACGAGTTGAATCTGTCTCAACTGTCAAGCAAACAATACCGAATCAACCTACTTGGGATGCTAACGATACTGATGAAACCCATAAAAATTTAAATGTTACTCAAGATGATGAATGGCCAGGTTAGCACTCCTATTTGTTTTCTTAAAATTTCAACTTTAGATGTTTCATGTACTTTAGTATAGCAGGTGGACAAGGTGACAGAATTATACTATACCGATGAAATTCAGTGACTGTAAAAAGAGCTTGCGAGATTTCACGCAGTTATTAGCCAGTCAGAATATCTGTAACATAAATAAACCAATTATCGTAAAAAAAACCGATAAGTTTAGGTTTAGAATAAAGACTATTTGGTTTTTAATAAAGTAAAAGCTATTTGTCAACTCATTTTGAATTTTGCACAAAACTCCAAAAACCATTGTAAATTTATTTTGGTCTGATAGTAAAGTATAGTTCCACTGCCATATTTGTTACTGTCACCAGAGTGAATCTTATTATTATTTAAACACATAAATATTGGTACAAGGAAGCACCAGATACATATGCGGCGCACAAATCTCTGAGCTTTCATTCCCCTTGACTCTATAAAAGATAACTGACCTGTCACTATGATCAGTCTTCGATTTCCCAGCTACTTTTGGGGGACTGGCTTTTCGTTAGTAACATGTGTCGTTTCTTTTTCTCTATCTCTACCCACTCGTCAACTTTCGTTAGAGTAGCAATCACAGTCGCGTCACACACAGTGAGACCCTGGACGATTGTCGATTACTCCGGTGGTCGGGTTTTTGCTGCTAGAAACAGACCTAGCCTTATGATTAGGTTTCCTACGTGTTTCCTGCTAGCTGTCATTTGAAAGACGTAGGGCAAAAGAAACACTTTTTTCTTGAGCGTTTATTCCTGACAGACCTCTTTAAACTCAGTTCTTCCTCCTTTGACCCATGTACGTCAGTCGATTCTGAGTTTATGTGAGGTGACTTCACATCAACTTGTGTATCGTCCAAGCAGGTACCGTCTGATATGTGGCGCATATATATCTGGTGCCTTCTTGTACCAATATTTATGTATTCAAATAAATAGGTAAATAAGATGTGTTTCGAATACGCTTACTAATTCTCCTCTTAGAAGCACTCACTACTGCAATGACTTCGGATAGCAATCTGTTTGTGTATGAGCAGCACTACTAACACAAGCACACGCAATCATTTTTACTAAACCGTTTGGGAGCAACAGGCGTTAATTTCGTGCAAACTCCGTGGTACCATCCTTTTCACTCGTCTCATTTCATTTATTTGTGTGTGGGCTGTGATACTGCCCAGGTGCCCAAACCGAAGTAGGTGGTTTTCTTAGGGGCCACACCCCGAGCCTTTGACCTGAAAGTCTGATCCACAAGGCAGTGGAGCGTCGTGAGGAGATGCAGTCCCATGGTAGCCGGTCACCAACGATTGATTCATATACTACCACCACTAAATTAACTATTTCTATGAATTCGGTGTTGATATTGTTGTGTTGATGTTGTTGTAATGAGGTATGGCAACTTCGACCGATGCATATATGTGCATGGTCCTATGTTGTAGCTGACTGACTGACTCTGGAAAGTTCTGGGACGCTACTCATTATAGTAGCAGAAGAGGCGATTATCCAATCAGAAATGTGATACTTAACTTTTCACTTTTTAAATGTTTCTGAGGAACTTTTATTGAATACTGGTTCTATAAGATGTTTTCCAACGTTTTCGTGCCCCCTTTGCGCTTTATTCGAGAAGTTGTTTGGGTTACTATATCAACAACTCTATTGAGCATCGAACTCATAACTTTCAGGTCTTGCAACGAGTGCTTCTTAGACTATTGAGGAAGCAGTCGTTGGTTTGATTTTTTAACCTTAATCAGTTTACGATACTGCGCAATCAACTTTCAATGTCATTGATAAGTAACTGCTTCACATTTGACTTGGTTGCAATTCACTGGTCATGGCTTCTAACCAGAATTCCGGAAATCGCCTCACGAAAGTAGTGTATATGACGAAATTGCTCTATAGTGCTTTCTGGTTTTATATGTGTTGTCTAACGAAGGTCAATCCTTAATTTTAAACTACAAATAATGCATTAATTACCCTATAATCATTTTTTCAGTGTTCATAAATTTTATTTTATTTTCTGTAACTGACATCTACTAAGTGTTAAAAATAATTCAAAATAGTGTATTGAAATTTTTGTAATTATAATCAAGTATCGACTCCAGTGTTCTTCAGATTTGTTAATATTATGCTCAAGAATAAGAAGTTAAACACACCGTAATCATATGGTTTTCTTACTTATTATGTTTTTACAAGTTATTATCACCTGACCAGCTAATTGTCTTGTAATACTGAACACATTAATTCTATCTAACATACTAATGCATATATATATTGTTATTATTATGTTTATCATCTTAATTATTCATTGCTTGTTGTTCAAAGTTGAATATATTTGAAACTCTCATATGACTTGGTCGGTCTTGGATATTATGGTGACTCGATAGGGCTATATAGGCTGACACTCGTTTCCGTAATTCCTACCATACCGGGCAACTCGATTGGAGTGTGGTCAGACTAACAGCATCGAAGTCATGATGAAAATACCAAACAATACTGTTGGCTACTGAGGTATGACCGATAAAATGCTTAGCTCAGACAAAAAGCGTCCGCAGAACTTTGCTTGCTACAATGAAAAAACCAGTTTAGAAAAGGTGTGCTTTAAGAATAGAACATCTCACCTTGTCCCGCGGATATCCGCCGAAGGCATCAAGGCCTTAAATTTTTCAGCAAGCACTCACATAAATTCCGTGCGTGACTGGCCTCAGACACTGCAGTCACATTAGGTCAAGACCTCCTTTAACTCAGTTTCATTTTCTGGTACCTCAAAATTAAGTACTCTTCCACGGTGTGGGCGACCATAGGGTGACCACCGCCGTCATTATGCCTAACAGCACTCACAACGATTAAACCTAGGTGTTTTAAATACCATGCACTCGAAATAAGTAGTATATGATCTTGAAATCGTTCCTTATTTACTGGAAGTATTTTACACTTTAAAATTCAAATAATCAAAAAATATTTTCATTCATTGCTGATTAATCGTGACCAGCACATTTTCATTTTGGTGCACTTTTTATCAATCGTTTGCACTTTTTTAAAATGATTAATCACTGAAATCTTACTATTAACGATAGTGATTTTAAAATTGTCATAATTAACAATTGGAAATAGCGTGATTTTTATCGTAAATCACTGAACAGACCACTGTAGCTAACCAAACGGAAATCAGATTAAATTTCACGTTAATGACCTCAATCACAAAATCTATTTTCACATTAGGAACAACCAGTTGAAATGTTATGACATTGGTTTTTCCATTAAATGATATTTTTTAAAAAGCTGCTTCAGTACACTAATTTTCCTAACGTTCATTCTTCTTAAATCTATTGTTTGTCTTTTTTCGACATCAGTTCGATACTAAGTCGATGATAAAACAAAACCTTTTTCACTAGAAATAAGGAATGCTAAACTAATGTTATCAAAAGAAGTGGGAACAAATCTTTTGAAAGATATACATATTTCTGTGTAAGGTTATCTGCAACATCTTCAATGTTCGATAAGTGTGTTATGTGTCACTATCCATTTCCGACAATGTATTCTACTGTAGTTTGACGTAGTGGTTGGGTGTTTCTATCGTAGCAAACTAGTCAAATTATGGTGATTATATTGCTTTGGTTTTGAATTCTTATTACATCATACAAGTTTATTTTTAAAAAGGCGAAACGAACTGAGGAAAATTTCAGATTTGAGGAGAGTAGGCTAGAAACCCCAACATTTGTTTTACAAATATCTAAAGGTTTAATTGCAATAACGAATGAATTCTGAGGAAGTCATCGTGACAGAATTCGAATACCTTTATTAGGCAGACAAAAATTAAATGTAAATTTATGAAGTATGTAGGTAATCACTGTGAACAATGATGACGGTCAACAAAAGCCAAGCATAGCAATAATAAACAGCAGTAAAATAGTTAAAAAATGTCAACAGCGTATCCAATTCGAATCATGTTCTCACATTACTAGATAGTTCACAGTGTCATCAAATTTGGTGGTGTGAAATAATATGTTGGTAGTTGTGGTTAAGTCTGTTCAGTATCCCATGTGGTATTAATACAGAACCTAGAAGTTTTAGATTGATAATTCTTGCTAGTGACCTGCCTAAACTGTCTTCCTAGCCAGTTCTGATATTCCCGACTATTTTTATGCGTCAACTGAAATGCTACAGAGAAGGTGCAAAATGTGAATAAGAGCTTTACATCAATGTTAGTTTGTGTGCAGAAAAACGAGGGTATTTATAGTATCACACCTGTCTTCGGACTCCTTGAATCATAACAAGATATTAGCAGTACAGGTAAATATCCGATCAAGACCGTGACACGTGATCCTGCATTTTCTGGATGTTTCTGGGAAGATTGTACCCAACGCTGATTGGATGAAAGGTCTCCTAGCTTTTCTCTGCCTCTAGGGACTTCGACGGAGCGATATTTTGTGGACCCTTCCAACATGATTACACTTCTCAAAGAAGTTATTTGTATCTAGGAAATAATCTTAAACTATAATTTAAATTCATTTCATTTTCTTTCATATCCATTAGATAGTGATGATCATACAACCGTCGAGAAGGAATCAGAAATTTCAAATGACGAATCCATCTCAAAACTCTGTAACAACGATACTACTATTACTAGTACCAGAAGTGATTCGCAATCCAGTAGTAGATCTTTCAATCAAAACAATATCATTGAGAAAAAAATCCGTCGTGATAGTGATAGTAATAGTAGTAGTAATAGTGGTAATGAAGAATCAAATCACGGAAACAAGTCTAAAAGAAAACATAGTTACAGAAAATCAGTGAATAAAAGCAAACACTTGGGGAAGTTAAGTTGTAGCAACAAAGAAAACTTGTCGGATAATCTTAAACCGGACAATATAAAAGTCGAAACTTTATCTACTCTACCGGTAAGCACTCTCATTTGTATTATTTTAAATATGGTAAGCATGTCAAAGTCCCAGGGTTGACAGCAATGAACGTTGCAAGGTAATAAACTGTGTAGATGTGTACGCGCTAACTAATTTATCACTTACCTACTTAAAGGTGACAGATATTACGTGATTGTTATGATCCTTAAGTTTATAAAGAATTCAAAGTCGTGACCAGAACGTAAAAGTATTTTGAGTTTTTAGGTAATAACATCGGATCAAACGAAAAACTATGACGACAATATATATATATACTGTTCGTAATGTAATCAAATTCTGGAAAATGCATCAGGACAATACAAAAACGTGAAATAATACCTCGAAGTAAATAAACGTTCCGAAGGTAGCATTCAACTTTATAAGTCAAGCGATTTTAGGAGTGTTTGATATAAAAAGTTCCTCGCAAAACGATATAAACCTTGTAGCTGTCTTCAATTGTCATTATTCCGTGCTTTTCATTTCCCAATCCTTTTGCTTATGAGCAAGCTGGAGCTTGTCACATTCGACCATCTGTGCACAGTGAGATAAAAATTACCGAGACCAATCTCTAAGTAGCAGAAATAGTATCCGTATCAGTTTGTGAAACAACATAGTATAAGTATTTTAAAACTCAGAGTCTAAATGAAAACAGAGAATGAATGCATTTGAGTCATTGAGACCGTTTCTGGGTTGTCACTTAGCTTATCCAATTATCGGTTGTGATAGTCTCACGGACCCTAACCATATAGTCTGTAGCTACCTACACTGCTCAGTTCAACAGTCAGTGTCTTCATGGGTTAATGTCACATCTTGGTTTGGTCTCTTCCTAGCTGTCTTACGACTTATTTCTGGATCAGCTAACGTTGCTCCTGGTTAAGCCTACGTAACATACGTTCAAAACACCTCACTAGAAAACGATTCACAACTTCGCTAGCTAACTTTTCATCTTCAACCAGTACCCTTTGTTTAACCTCAGTATTGCTTACTCGACATTCGCATGCGATTCAAATAATATTAACTTACCATTACTGTCTATTTTTAAAGACCACGTTTCACAAACATTCGAACTATGATTTCGAATCACATACTTTATCCTATTAGACTGTCGAAAGCTTCTATAATAAATCAATTAATTCATCATTATACCTAGCTTGTTATTAAAAGGTTTTCTTCTCCATATGATTTTATCGTCACGTACAATATATGCATATATCATATCTGAAGATAATGATTTTTGTTTTAACAGTCATGCTGTTATTGTATATACTGATCAATATATTTAATGCTAGAAAAAAATAAAGTAAACATACTACATATACCCGTAAGGTGTGCATTTCAAAATGAATGAGAAATCGCGTGATATTCTTCTTTTCTTTAGGTACATAGTGTTAGCACGTGATTGTTCAGTGATATTGAAATCACGAACCAACCTTAGTTAGGCAAACATTGAAATCCTGGGAGCACTAAACAGCTAAATAATTTGTTTATAAAAAATTACATTAAAAGTGCCTCCTACACATGGGTTTGTCCACCATATCTGATTACCTGAACCATGCATGGATTATTCAGTATGTTGAGATTATCCTTATACAAAGCATTTTTTCGATTAACAACATAACTTAGTTGGACCAATGTCAAGTTCTTAGAACCTAAGATTGTTAGCCAGCTGACTCGGATTGAATGTCTTATTTGTTTGTCTTTTTTAAGTCAATGGTGATATCAACATATTAGGTTTACTGATGCAAGTGTATTATAGCGAGGACATCAAAACAACCGTGACTAATTTTAGTCAGCTATCGGTCAATCAAAAAGCAGTTATTGTAAATCAGTATTTCCTGGGAGAAAACTAATAACATTACAGAATACAAACATCTTACATTGTGAATTTACTGAAGTCTTCTACACGTTCTGTCTGTAAATTGGGAAACAATGACACCTAACTTTGTTCTTATGAATATAAAAGATCCGTCATGAGGCAAACAGATCCTTGTAAGTCTGCACACTGTTCTTGTTTAGAGATTTAGGGTTCGATATTTAGAATTAGGAATATTACTGATTTGTGTTGTATATGCAATCTAGGTTTAGTAGTAGCGATTTTACTCTGTCATAGCTAATAAATAATTTCCTATGATCATTTTGAATGTTCTAAGCAATTTACAAAGGTATTTCTACTGTTCATGTAATATAACGTGAATTAAACATCATTTGTTTTTGGATTTCACTCAAATGCCATTTTCTCAATTCTTATTGGCTAGTTTCTATACTGTACTTTTAATGTCTTTTTCTATTATTATTATAAAATCATTGTTAACGATAATTTAGTTTAATAGAGTAACAGGAATAATAACTTCAGTTTTAACAACTGAATGGCAAACTGTTAAAACAATATATCGGTCAGTTGTGCTGATCTTATTTCTGATTTGTGTTGATTGCCATGTAACTGACAAAAGTATTCAAGTTAAATTCATCTGTTTTCATCTCTGTATAAAATTATTTTTTATGATTATATATATATATATATGGATTTCATTCTACTATTGTGATCATTTCTACTTAAGTGTAGGCTTTTTACTTTATATGATTTTGTCTTATAAGTCAGTCATAAGCAACATAGAACAATTTCCGCTCTATTCTATATGTATTAACTGATCACTGAGTAAGTCACCAATATCATGTTTGCCTCGTCCTTCGGTGCTGATCCCATTCTATTAAACAAGGAGCAGTCTAGTTACTAGTCTGTGTTTTAAGATCATGTGCATTATATTAAGTTGTTCATAAATAGTTGACAAGATACCTTGAAAATTAGCTTCGTGCTTTATGCTGCTCATCTACAAGCAGTATCTAACATCTTGTGAGAACTAATACTCTGTCTATACCCGCGTCACTCAGCTTCACAGTCTGAGACGTTACCACTGAGTTATTTGGGGTACTAACCAACTTATAAAAAGTGCGCGAGATCAGTAGTAAGACAAACACTAATAAAATTAGTTGGTGTTATTTTTGTAAAAGAAAATTTGTATCTAACGTATGCTCCTAGTAAACGTAAAATATACTGGCTGCCTTGAATTAGCCAATCACAGTTAATATATCATTTCGTATTTTTCTCCAAGTTTGAAGTGCAGTGATGGACAACACGTATGTTATTATTCACTAGGTGAAAATCGACAATGCTTGTTCCTTAAAGTGCTTGAACTCAATGTAATTATCTACTATCCAACCAAAAAGTGTATTTTAGGCAGTGCTTATGCTAAACTACATAACCTACCTGCTCATAAAGGAGATTGTTTATTAAAGCATGTGATGCTGTTTGCTGCGTAATTGAGAGTGTTTAATCACGCTAGATAATGTTCTGTTTTTCTTACTCTCACTCTAAACCGCAACCCAAGTTTCTGAAGTTTGTAAACAGGATGGTGACAAGGCTTCAAACTATTGCTGATGTCCGTTCTTGTTGCAATCCCTGACCCTAATTTGTAAACCTAACTCAAAGTTGCAGTTTAACTCTTTATACTTAGCCTTAACTCCACCGCATCATGACTGATGTCAGTGGGGTGACTGTAATTTTACGAGGTAGCGCTAACTCACAACGCCAAATGTGAACGTATATATGTAAAATTACTCTTTACTCTTTGATACGAGCGATAATTTGACTTTTGAAGATTAATTATCACGATCAAAGCTGTAACTCCACTGTTATTTCGTTACCTTGTATTGTTAACTGTTTTATCACCAAGCAGCGTTTCCCAAATGGCTGATTAGTCGCCAAAGTTTGTCAGTATATTACACCTTTACGATGTCTGCTTTAAAAGATAATGCCATTTCAAATGGTAGTTGTTAAAGTTTGTAATTCTGCTTCTTAATATTGTAGACAGAAGATCAAAATTCAACAAATGTCTTTTCAGATTTTGAAGAAATGACATCTGGTTTATCATCAGTTGTGATACTTGCAGATGAAGTGGAAAATGATGAAATGTCAGCCGCGAAAGCAGTTACGACAGATAAATCAATCTTTCATTCTTCTGAAAATCCTACTATTGAATATAAGGCATCAATTTCTGGTAATGTATCCTATTTTTGAAAATTGTGTTATTTTTATTCATAGTTACGTCTTAACGGGTTATTTTGTTCGTCCCATTTTTCTCAATTCTTCGACGTTTAGACTAAATTAACGAAGTTTAAGAACGACAGGTTATTTATTGCTCGATGGATGATGTTGGTTGGTGTAGCAGTTGGTCAGAAGATATCAAGGAGTGGCTGAGTAATTAAGGTGTTTGAAATTCAACCAATACGTAAATGCACTTGATGATGTTTGCTTTCATCTTCCCATTGTTGTTTAGGACCGCAATTGATCAGTCTTTTGTTAGCATATGTGCATTCTGTGCGGATTGCCTCCATAATGCCTTAAGTCACAAGCCTTTTAAGCAAAGATGGTTTGGGCCTTGCTCTAGTCACTTTGGTTTAAGCAGTCGAGGTTATCATCAGTATCCCTCATAACTAGAATGTAACCCAAACTACAATAACTTATACACTTGGTAAATGAGTCTTGGAAAAATTTTCCTGTATATTTTGTCTGTAATATTTGTAATTTCAGATGATGAAGCTTGGAGTGATTCCGAAAATGAACGTAAAAATTACTCGATGGATAAAACCAATAAGAAGTCCACCGAAAGTAATAATAACAATGAAGCCGTCAAAATTAAAAATTCTGAGCCACAATTAACTGATGAGGTTCGTAATTCATTTTATTTCAAGCGAAAAAATTGTATTACTCTGTTAGTTATTATGATTACTCTTAAAGATTGTATTCCTTTTTGTACAATTCTTTTCCGGGTTTGTGTGTTTAATCGAGCCTCCAAATGCCCTGGTACGGCCGAGAGTGGGGAGAGTCCGTTCTCCCTCTCCAAATGCTCTCACATGGCCACGCGAATATATAGCCTCTGCCAGGGAAGTCCTACTCACTGCCTTCTCGTGGCGGGGGTGTTGTTTACGAAAGTGAGAGGACGAAAAGCGAATGTCCGGCGCTTTAACCGGGTTGGTGGACAAGGCGAGTCCACCTAGGGGAGTTGGAAAACCCTGATTCCAAACCAATGGTGTACATGGGCTCCAGTATCCTGAGGGAACAAATGGCGTACGAATCAATCGTTGATCACCGGCTATCATGGGACTGCATCTCCTCACGATGTTCCACTGCCTTGTGGATGAGATCTTTCGGTCAAAGGCTCCGGGTGTGGGCCCCTAAGAAAACCACCTACTTCAGTTCGGGCACCTGGGCAGTATCACAGCCCTCAAGCAAATCGAATGAGATTTGTATGGCGCATATGTATCTGGTGCTTCCTTGTACCAATATTTACGTGTTTAATCGAATTTGCCCTCTTGTCATATAACGTTATAGTATAATCGTGGAGTTGTGGTTTATTTAGTTTATGGAGGTTGTTGAATTTATTGGAATTCACATCACGAACTGATCTTGTTTAGACAACTGTTGAAAATTAAGTATTGTTTAATTTCATAGTAATGTGATGTCATTGTTAAGTAAAACTCGACATGATCGAAATCTGCTGTCAATGTCTTCTCACTAAAACTCCGGGAATAACTTCTCAAAGTTTGTCACTGATGCGTGTAAGGGACTAGGACGAAGCAGTTATCAAGTGTTCTTTGGTCGTTTCGTGATTTTCACTACAATAAATCCAAAAATCTCTGTAAACTTTACACTAACAGTACATTCATCGAGTATTTCACTTATTGATTCGGTTTCGTCACTAATCAAGGTGTTTATGTTAGTTATGATTCGCATCATTTTTTAGTTGAATCCGTAAGGTAAACTATACTGTTCTTAACTTTTATTTAAAGCTTAGAACATTTTACTTTATCTCACTCATTATCACTTATAGTTCAATGAATTATACATATGTATATTGACAGTAATCTGTTGATCATAATTATTTTTATCTGAATTTAATTTTAGATTGACGATTGGGAGAATTGGTCATAAAAAAAATTAATTAATCCCATAATATTACATTGCCTATTAATCGCAGCAATTCCTGGAATCTTCTCATTGTTCACACTTAATTACTATTATTAACTTATTTTGTTGTTTCTTTTTATTGTAAACTGACATTAATCAGTGTGATAGATAAAAATAATGACTATAATAATTAATTTTTAAAAAAACCAATAAAATAATGTGAAAATTCCGTTCTTTCTCAGAAGAAAACTAACAACAACAACAACAAAAAGCCTAAAACGATCCATTATTTTTATGAAGCGTGGGTACAACTCTGCAAAGATGATGACGATAATAATGTGTACGCTTATTATATTCTAGAAATTTTGTTTATTTTTTTCAATTGTACTTTTCTGTATCTAACCATATGAATAACGACTTTTTTTATTTCTCAAATTTTGTCGTCTGTCAAAAGTTATTGATTTTGAAATTATTTTACTATTAGTGGTTGTCAATTTATCGAGCTATTATTACATCGTCATCATCATATTACTTTGATGTGATTTTATCCTTTGAGAAATCTATTTCATCGATCAATTCTTTTTTTTCCAAAAATTATTACAAAGAACAATTACTTGTTAAATAGAAGTGTGATTGGTCGGTTTATATTACTAGTACTTAAACAGGAATCGCAGATTTTGGTTTACCAAATATTATTGACTAGTTTGAAGCTGAATAGTTCCTGTCAAATCTTTTAAAACGATTAGGTTTTTATGAAACTGCTTGGTTAGATGACACTTTAGAAATACTTGACTGAGTAGATAAATGTCCCTACGAATAAATGCAAATTCATAACATGAGGTAAAACTATTACCTATGATGAAAACCTGAATTCGTCAAATGAAAACGAGTTGCTACCATAGAGGGTCTGTGGAGATTGTTAAACTTCGTAGTGCTTACATTTGTAAAGTGCATCAAGGATTAGTGCACCCAGTTAACAATAGTCAGTCTAACGTATATGACGTAGATACTAATCTCTATGTAAAATGCACACAACAAAGATGCTTTAAATGCTCAGAACTACAACATATTATGATAGAACTGTAGAACAGGTTAAAAATTTGTGTTTGAATCGATTCTATGCCTGCTTGATGAGATTTAAGTAGCAAATGGGGAAATGACGATCATCACCTTGTATACTGTTGTGCGTACATGTAGCAATCATTTTTATTATATGAATAAAGTCAACAATACACTAACATTTTCCGACAGTAAAATTGTTTAGAAAGAAAAGATAGTTTGAGGGACTAAAATTTTGTTCTATTTAACAGTCACCAAATTTATGATTCCATAAAGAGATCAATAAATAATTTTATTAAAAAATGCAATATTTAAAAGGGTAAATAAAATGTGCAGATAAAACAATCTACAGACCTATCACCAGTTGACAACGATAATTAGATTAAATTATCCAATGAGTCACTATAAAAGTAATTAAAATCTAACCGTGACAATAACTTATTTAAATCTGTTGTGCCCGAATAGTGAGGACCATTGGTTGTAGTAATACCAGGTAACGATAGCGATTCGAAGTCTCGATGATGATTAACAACAGTATAGCCAGAATTGAAACCAACACTACTTTTAACACCGGTTGAACAAGAAATATTCAATAAATCATACAATAATTTTGCTTGAGTATAGAATTTATTCACCACCTCTTGCACTTTATCAGACAATTGATGGTTGTGGTCATCATCCATATTCATTAAATGATCATAGCGGTATTGTTGATTTGATAAATCCACAAATTGACAGCAATAATTTAACAACTGCAATATACATAATTTTATATCTGGCATGAACAATAATGCTTGCGCTTGTAAACCAGCCAGGTAAGCTTCTTGTGCGATTTGAATTAATCGAATTTCTTGATCAATATGTAAACGATGAATTAAGTGTGAAAATTGTGCTTCAATTACATCAACCTGTGAGGGAGAGGAAGAAATAAAGTGCGGATATTCTGGAAAAATAATGATAGTACCAGGGATTGTATGCCGATTCATCTGTAAGGCAAATGTGGATAACCCAATTTAATATGTTCAATCCAGTTCGCATTTATTTCTTTGTTCATACTAACTATGGATTGTATGAATTCAATAAGAACTATGACTCGCAAGTGGAGTTGACGTTGTATAATACTTTCTTTGTACAGTTATATTGCCTGTTTAGTGGAAAACAGTTTTCATTGTCGATATGATTTAAGAAAAACCGATTAACTCGCGGTATAGAAACGATGATATCATTTTAAAACTCAACGTCTAGTGGAGGACAAAGATCAATGCATTTAGCCATTCCGAACGATTGTGAGCCATTTAACCCGACTTCTCTATCCATTAATGATAATCGTTGCACGAATCCCAGCCATATACCTTGGACCCAACACTATGGCTCAATCCAATTCAAGAACATTATAGATGGATGCCCTACCTTGACTTGGTCACTCCTAGCTTTTATTCAACCTATTCCTACACTGAGAAAAACTAAACAACATTACATACTGGACTACCAAGTGTATTTGAAAATGTAACTAGAAAGATCAGACAATTAATACACAACAATATTCACCCACGCGATTGGAGAGAAGTGAGGAATCTGAGCAGTCAGAGTTTCAGTAGAAAAACTGCTTATACACCAATAACTAATATCTTGGGACACAGTTGCAAACTAAATGCGGAAGCAACAAGTCGGGTACAGTACCAAAGACTAGTGGGTTAATATGAATTGAGAAAAAGTTACTGAGGACTTGGCACATGAGAACTATTATTTACTAACAAAAATAAAAACATTAGATAATTTGAGGTCTTTCTACACTATAGAAGTTAAAACATTTCTTGGTCAATTCTGATCATAGAGTAGACCATACAACAAATTTTGGACTCATATTTATGTACCTTATTGTGCATATTTGACTGGTTACTTTATTGTATTAATCTTATGAGACATATCTACTCGGGTTACGCACTCACAAATTATTCTAGTTCAATTCATTAATATATTCCTTGCTTTGACCAGGTAATCTGAATACAAATCAAATATTACAATAGTGCTCTTGTTTCTACTACGCTTATACGATTTTTCTAATTTTCCAAGTATATGAATACGATTAATAATTTGAATTACCTAGACATAAACAGTACAGATAGAAGAAATGTGACTTTTGTGAACAATCATAACACTTATAGGAAACAAATGATATTCAACCGGTATATTTTAAACTGAATGAAGATCCATTTTCCCAAATATGATAACAAACCAACCTGTAAATAATACTGTAAACTGTCAATAATAAATGCCATATGACTACGAACTAGGAGGCGTTGATCTATACAAGACTGCAATTGAATAAAAACATTGGTTGGTGCTTTATTATAATTTACATTGAGCTGATTACGAGCACAGGTACGACGCCAAAAAAGAATTTGATCAGCCCAAAACTCTTGTAATTTCAATTGTGTTCGACGGATAGCGAATAGAAATCTAAATAACCTGTCGTAAGCACGACAAATATTAGGAGAGAATAAACGTTCGAACACCGGTGGAGCAATAATGCATAAATGTAAACGATCCAAAACAGTAATATTTTCTGACAATTTATTTGATTGAGCCGCTGCCAACTTTATTGAGAATCTAGATAAATTAAAAATTAAAGAAAACTAAACTTGAAATGAAGAACAAGACCAGTGATTTTTCAAATTACTGACTTGAGAATCTAGATTCAGTATGATTTTAGAAAATGTACAGAGAAATAATCCCTGTAACTTTATGAAAAGTTCGAGGACTGATTGAGCACACCACACGAAAGTAATTTCAACAGAAGTCATATTATGATGCCGCTTATTCGGTAAGTGAGAAAGTTGAGCTAAATTGAATTGCGATAAAATTAGGGAAATGGCTCTCACAAAACTTATGAGGTAATAGTAGCTATTCATAAAGACAGTTATTGACTTAATCGAGTATTTGAGAGCTAAGAAGACTCCGAGGATGATCGAAAACAAAGATGATTGTCAGCCCCTTCTGTAGGTGAAAACTTCGAAAGTGTGTGGTTTTTTGCGCTTTCGATCGCTGATTCACTATGCAGATGATTGCAGTCGTTTGTACACACGATTCTCAAGCTTCCATCCACCTGAACAATGAACTTATCACAAAATAACATAAAATGGATATCGGTATTTTTCTCTCCAACTGAAAATTCAGACCAATCTCCACCTTGGGTATAAGGTACATCAGTGAATGTATTTGTATCAATAGTCTCAACCTTAAAATATAAATTATATCAGCTTTGGGTGTCAGTTAGTGGGGGATGTGTGTTAACGGCGAAAGCACTTGGTTTTCAACTGGTAGAGTTTCAAATTCTGTTCCAACTTCTTCGGTTTGAGCAACTAGATAGTGTCGCTAGGTCCCACATAATTAAAATATGACATTTTGGCAAAGTTGCGTTTACTTAGCTGGGTGATTTAATCGTGAAGCTTCAATTTTCTTTCTAGGCAACATAGTAAGGACAAACTTCACAAAGAAGTGAGCTAATAGGATTTCTCCACTCATCACTAGCACTAATAAAATGCAGTATTTTGGTAGCACGAAGTAACAATACCAAGATGTTTGGGATGTGTTTCTCCCCCTCTAAATGTAAATTGTTACTCCAGGACTGGTTTGCGTCAACACCTGAACTAAGTGTAGGGAGTGAAGTGGTCGAACGCGTCGACTAATTCACTTATCTTGGAAGTATGATCAGCCCTAATGGGTTGGTGTCTGACGATATCTCAGTACGGATTCAAAAAGCTCGTTTGGCTTTTGCCAACTTACGTCACCTATGGTGGCCCCCAAATGCCCTGGTACGGCCGAGAGTGGGGAGAGTCCGTTCTCCCTCTCCAAATGCTCTCACATGGCCACGCGAATATATAGCCTCTGCCAGGGAAGTCCTACTCACTGCCTTCTCGTGGCGGGGGTGTTGTTTACGAAAGTGAGAGGACGAAAAGCGAATGTCCGGCGCTTTAACCGGGTTGGTGGACAAGGCGAGTCCACCTAGGGGAGTTGGAAAACCCTGATTCCAAACCAATGGTGTACATGGGCTCCAGTATCCTGAGGGAACAAATGGCGTACGAATCAATCGTTGATCACCGGCTATCATGGGACTGCATCTCCTCACGATGTTCCACTGCCTTGTGGATGAGATCTTTCGGTCAAAGGCTCCGGGTGTGGGCCCCTAAGAAAACCACCTGCTTCAGTTCGGGCACCTAGGCAGTATCACAGCCCTCAAGCAAATCGAATGAGATTTGTATGGCGCATATGTATCTGGTGCTTCCTTGTACCAATATTTATGTGTTTAAATAAATAAATAAATAATAAAGTCACCTATGGTGAAGATGAGATATCCGTCTACCAACTAAGGAACGAGTATACAGCGCAGCAGTTCGTTCTCTTCTACTTTACGGCTGCGAAACGTGGCCATTAAGAGTAGAAGATACTCGGAAGCTACTAGTATTTGACCACCGACGCCTTAGAAATATTGCTCGCATCTGCTGGGATCACCGGGTAAATAATAGTGAGGTTAGACATAGGGTATTAGGGAATGATGGTAAATCAGTTGATGAGGTTGTGAATCTTCATCGACTGAGATGGTTGAGCTACGTGTTACGTATGCCTGAACACCGATTACCACGACGCGCAATGCTGACTAGTGTTGGGGATGGTTGGAAGAAAGTTAGCGTCGGCCAAACCAAAACGTGGCATCAGTGCTTAAAGTCACCAACTTCTGGTGTAAGCGATGTGGGTAGATGCAAACTACTTGGTTGGGGTCCACGTGACTATCGTAACTAATGGTTGTAGACTCTATATGACATGGCTCATAATCCACCACAATGGCGTAGGTGTATACACTCTGTCTTTCCTTAAACCTTAGGATTAAAATTGCTTCATATCTGTCTTTCTTCCTGTACTATGTCTTTATATGCAATCTCACTTTTATATATTACCACCACTGAGCTAACTACTTCTATGATTTCGGTGTTGATCTTGTTGTGCTAATGAGGTATGGCAACTTGGACCGATGCATATATGCGCCTGGTTCTACGTTGTAGGTGACTGACTGACTATTCCATCAACATGAATTTTAACTGGTTGTTGGTCCATGTTTTATGATTGTCTCGGCACATATATCGATAGTTGGGACGTAAGAAAGTCAGTATCAGTTAGTTGTTATTCGTTTACGACACGGGCAACTAACAACTAGCACTAAAAGTTATAATCATAATATGAAATGTTTTGAGGCCCCGCAAAATTACCGATACAATATTGGTAATGATGGCTAATTCCCATCGTCTTAACACATTACTCACAACGCATACTCTTTATCTCTATCAGGTTAGAGTAACGTGAATAAACCTGTATGGTTTCTTCGCTGTGAACTGGAACCAATTTTCATGGGTCGCACGTGAATTATGATGTCTTTATTTACAAAATAATTCCTATTAATTGGTTACAACCTAATATTATATGGTTGTTGATTACAAAGTCACTTCATCAATGTTTTCTTTTATAGTACTGTAGTGAACGAGGACACAGGTGAGGACAACCAAATGTATTTGAATACAAAATTACAAAATGTCTTAGTAAAATCTGAGAACCATACAATAAATACTTCATTTAAAAAATGTCAATCGACCGTCTTAGACTTGATTGTTCCTTCGTTTCCACACCAATCATTCTCTGTTCTCGTTCCCTTTTCTTCGGTCCTATTAAACTTCTGCTGCCAGGCATTTCATTTTCGATTGATGATACATACTACATATATCTGTCAACGTCAGTAGCACACACAACAGTACTACTACTAATACTGCTTTCATATAACGATATACTTTTACCGAACAAGCCGAAATATTTTCTAAAGCTAATCTACTCATTTTTAAGACGTTATTACTAATTACTTTTCCTGTCGTTATTATAGTTGCTTATATTTCATGTACATTGGTTTGAGTTTCTACACCTTTGGATAACAAAGACAAAAAATCAAAATAATATGATGAACCATAGAGAATCATAGAGTGATTAGGTAAAATAATACCCGTATGATGAAGTGAAGATTTCCATAAGTATATCTAATAAATGTATTCGCTATACAGCAATCTATGGCAAACCAGAGAATAGTAATGATAACAGTAGTAGTAATAATAATGTAGAATTCTTAGCGTAGACGATTGTATCACTTATTCCTTATATTAAGTCGTTAAATGGAAAAGATTTACTATAAGGTGAGTAAAATTAAGCTTAGAGCTTCAAACACAAAAATAAATTACAGCAAAGATTACATTACTTACAGTTCAATATTACTGATGCGAAATATCTTATACATTAAAAATCAAGAGTTTTTAATATACTCACAGTGAGAACTCATAGCTTTCTTGACTTTAAAAGATCTGCGTTTAGTTTGTAGTGATCACTCAATAATTTAATTATATGTGAGTCATCATTCGAAGACACCTTCATTTGCACTTTCTATGTTCATGGGTTAACCATATGTTCGGACAGAATGACGAGCTAGAAATTCGGTCTACGAAATATACCCAATTATCTCCGTTGTACAATAAAAGGTATATAACTTGACCTTTAGTGATATATATATATATTACCAATAAATAGCCAAAGAAGGATGATACAGTTCCTCTGGGTTAATAGAATGAGCATGCTGAGATCAACATTCTAACAAAAATACATCTGGACATTGGACTGTTAAATTCTTTATACTCGATTTATAACCATCAGGTTTTAAGCTCAAAAACTTTCATATGAAATACAGGTTATTGAAGTTAATTTATACAAAATTAGGCGTGGCTTACAATACAGAACACAAAAATCCTCGTGACTACTGAGAATTATAAGTCAATCATTACATATATACTCATTTGGCAAAAATAAGAGCAGTTTGAAATAGAAGTAACATAACACTACAAAATTGTTGATATACACTTGAAAAATATAATATTACACGGTGACATACTTAAAATTGGAATCTAGTTCTTCATCATCCATACCTAAAGAACGAGCTGCTGCCAGAAACGCCTCAGTAACATCGTATTCAATAGCCTGAACTGCACTTTCATTTGTTGGGGGAGGTTTGTCTAAAATGCTATGCTGAATTTTACAAGTGGTTCCACAACGTGAATTATTACTGTTGCTGAGATTATTTGAAATATTTAAATGATCAAGGAATGCCAAGAATAATTCGCCTCTTCCTAAAAGTAGGACATCTTTAACTAAGCAAATGTATTGAATTAATTTGTGTTCTTTCAATAAACTGCACCAAGAATGATATGAGACAATACTCTGTATATCACATACTAAACTACTGATTTTATTAAAGTCTATCAGGTTACTGAAGGTTTTTCCAATCCACTGAAGTCCGTCTGAATTTTTCTCCAAACAAGTTAACAGTTCCACAAAACGAGGACAATAATTTTTCTCTAATTCCAGTAAGAAAGAAGCTTCTGATAGATCATGGGTGGCAGAATACACAGCTTCACCAGTTTCAAGAACTCTTTGAGCAAATGAAGTTGGTAGAAATGATGGTAAGTTTTCATTATCTATGGAAAATTTTGGTTTTGTCGTCATACAATCATTTTTTGATGAAAGATCATCAAAATAACCATGAGAACCTTGTAAAATGGATGGATTCGGGTGAGTGGAGGCTGTAGTTAAATTTTCTAACTTGATAAAAAATTCATAGTAAGGATCATGAACAACACCATATATAAGCCACGATGATAATTGTCGTAAAAACACCTGCATAATGTGAGACACTAACTTTTGGATGGTGAATCGTGGGCCTGGTAGACCAGGGGGTGCAGCTGACAATATTGTATCTAAAAGCCGACAGCTGGACCTAACACCAGTAGTTTGAGGGCTTGTAACTATATTTTCCACCTTTTTAGTGACTTTCACAAGCACAGGCAATAAAATCTTGTAGGAATGGAGACGGTAAGAAATGTGTGAAACACCAAGATCAGCATCCATCAGAAGTTCAGTTTCTATTGTACATAGATCTGTTCTGTATGCTTTAAGTGAATCATCGATTCCCAATGCAAATGCAGATAAATATAAACCATGATATGATTCGGAAAAGCGTTCAATAAATTCTTGCAAATATTTATAGCAAGTTCCAAGTTTTAATAATTCCGCATAAAGGACAAGTTCACCATGTGGTACAAAAGGAAGATTATTTGATATAGGTATTAAATGTTGGTCTAGACCTAAATCATCATCTTCTTCAGTCTTATCAGACTGGACGAATATACCACCGGAAATCCCATGTAAAGCAAGTAGCAATTCATGTAACATTTAATGAGCAGAACTGAAATATATCTACATGAATGAAGAGGGAATTAGCAAGCTTTAGATATACCAATGATACGATAAAAGAATACAAATTTTAGTTGTAGATTGGTAAATGCCAAGGAAAGAATAAAAAGAACATTCTTCGATATGATACGAAATTTGATTAATTTTTTTATTATATTATTGCCTGATGGCTTTTGCCCCCAAACGCCCTTGTACGGCTGAGAAAGGGGAGAGTCAGCTCTCCCCCTCGAAATGCTCTCACATGGCCACGCGTATATAGCCTCTTACAGAGAAGTTCTACTCACTGTCTTCTCGTGGCGAAGGTGTTGTTTACGCTTTAACCGGGTTGGTGGACACAGAGGATCCATCTAGAGGAGTTGGAAAACCCTCGTTCCAAACCAATGGTGCTCCAGTATCCTGAGGTAACAAATGGCGTATGAATCAATCGTTGGTCATCGGCTACCGTGAGACTGAATCTCCTCACGACGCTCCATCGCATTGTGGATCAGACCTTTAGGTCAAAGGCTCCGGATGTGGTCCCCTAAGAAAACCACCTGCTTCAGTTTGGGCATCTGGGCAGTATTACGGCCCTAACACAAATCAAATGGGATTTGTGCGGCGCATATATATTTAGTGCTCCCTTGTACCAATATTTATGTTTAAATAAATAATATAATGGTGGTTTTTGGTTCAAACAATCAATTTCTAACCAGTGGGATTCCATCAGTATCAACCACATTCTCATGTATTAATAATGTAAAAACCTTCGTACGAGATATCAAGAATTCCATCGCACAAAACATCACGAGAGAAAATTATGCAATGATCACAAAACAGCAGTGTTGAGGGATGATGGTTACTGCTTCAAAAAGGATAGCTTATTGCACATAAGAAAGATGAAACGTAATCCAAGAATGCTGCTCCCATCAATAAGGGGTTATATTTAAAAATGCCTCCCTGGTCTTTAAGACTATCTAGCGAGTTATAACGGGTTAACAAGTGGAAACCCAACAGTTACTACTCACTATATAACATCATGTATCGAATGCAGCAATTAGTGCTCCATGAGATATTTTGGAATATATGTAGAAATTTACTAATGCTTTAGGATAACATTGTCGGTTGGATAATGGTCTACAGTATCCCTAGATATTCATTACCAAACCTTGGTATAATCGTACCTTCACCAAACACAACCGATCGTTAGGAAGAAACGAAAACAGACAACCTTTAAATACCCACAGCTTAATGTTGTTAGTTTGTACAAGTGAACAGTAAGATTTTACATCTGGTACCCGACATTTGGTAGTCAGACTGATATGACAAGGCCGAAAGTGACATGAAACAAGTTACTAAAACTTAAATAACTGCCCATATAGACGGACATTTCAGTCATTTCCATGAGTTCACTATCACAAGAATGAAAATTATGAACCGAGAATATCAATACGAATAATAGTACATAATAAAACAATAGAGTCAAGAAAAAAGATGGGTTCGACGAGCAACAAATATGTGATGACACATTCAGTTGGAAGGAATCCATCTATGGCAGTGAGAGTGCTTCGAGAAGTATCACCCTAAGTCTTTAACCAAAAATTACTGATATATCAAAATTCTAATCAAGACATATGCACTTTCCTCAAGAGATACAACTAAAAGTTAGTGACTCCAACTGATGAAATATTGCCTTGGTTTAATCACCTAAGGGCTGACTGTTATAAGGCCTAAGCGTAACAGCCTATTCATCACCAGTTGGTTTCTCATGTCCTGCAAAATTTGGTAAGACGGGAACTAGTTATTAGAAGTTCAATACATTTATTATCTGCACTTCCCTTTGTTGCGGTTAGACAACTGATCAAAATTTCAGATGCAAACAACTTACTTTCACCAATACTTTTAGAACGACGGACAAGCTGAATAAAGAAACTTATGATTTCGTACACACTGTAGGATAGCCAGAATCAGGTATGTATTGGAAATGAAGACAGTTTTGGACAAAACCGCATCTGATTGCAATATTATCTGCTTGAAACGATGACGAGTAGAATATCAAATACGACTATGTTAAAGGTTAATATCATTCAAAGATAGACTGTAACCTACACACAGATGTAGAATGTTCTTATCCGATATCTAAAAAACGAGTTCCATTTGGTCACTGCAACTTCTGCGTTACTAGACTTCTATCTCAAGCAATTAAGTTTTAAGATAACTTGTATATCTGTCAACTACATTCAAATGAGATTATTATGTTGCTTGATTTCAATCTCCCATGTTTTTGCGTTAAATGTCATTTTAACGTCTGCAGAAACAACGATATGGAACGTCAGTGATTCCACTCACTCCACACCGTTGATTTAGCCTATAAGCAAGTAAAAAACGATTATCCAAGATTAATTTGGTAGCAGTTTCATAGGCTTCGGTATTTCTTAATGTTTAGACCCCGATATCACAAGGTATCCAGACAAGTACATACAACGGGTCACTTCAAACAAACAGAACGAGCAAATCTGCGGTATTACCTCAAATTTGAGAAACACTATACTAGGTTTGTGCTTACAATCACCAGTATTTCTCAACGGTTAAATATTTATGGGAGCGACTCGAGTCACCTTGTTAATTGATCATTTACCAAGGCGACTCTAAGTAAATACGGAACCTACAGAACTGAAAACGAACATACTTCAACGTAACTTAATAAAATTAGGGTCAAATAAACAGACGCCAGAGATTGAACTAGCAGATCTTTTTGCTCCCTCCAGCACTAATAATCTCCGGGGTCATAGCAAGAAGGTTCTGAAACCGCGATCTAATAAACTAAAGGTGGGGTCCCGTTTTTCTCATCGAGTGGTCAATGACTGGAACGCTTTACCAGAACAAGTGGTATCAGCACCATCAGTGAACATTTTCAAAAAGAAGCTGGACCTTCACTGGAAGGAAATCTGTCAGGATTAACACAGGTTCATCAACCTACTATCCTTATTACTGAAGACTGAAGATGTGACGACACTGAGTTCTCAGTACAAACTATAAGTGAATAAAGGCTTCTAACAAGGCAGTAATTTCGAAACCTTTCATTCGTAAATAATTATAGCCTCCACATACCGCAAAAACCGTAAACAATAATATTTGTGGTCTTTGAGTCTCAAATGAGGCAGACACATGCACCACATTGATTGCATGAACGAAAGCAGATGCTGTAAACTAACAGCCAACCCTGTTAATGTTTACAGCAACCCTTGGAAAGCCCAAAATAATATTTGGACTACAAACTGACGGATTATGATAATCGAACTAGTGGATAAAGCAAATTTCCCCTGAAATTGAAATTACCGCCCACGCGCCTCGGCGACCTTGAGCAACTGACCTCAAGGCAGTCACTCCATATTTTAAGTATATCAAGTTTGTGGCGTGTTTGTAGGCTAGCCTAACTCCATGGTATGTGTTCGTTTGGGAGGAATGTATGTTTGGAAAATGCCAAACGAGATATAGACTTTTGTACCGTATGTTTCTGTCTTCCTTTCAAACGAAGAAAACCTATGTTGTGCTTTTTAGTTGTCGACCTATGGCTAACAATATGTGAGTTTATATTTTTTCCTTTTGGTGAGTGCCATAATTAATCGTCCTTTTATCCAGTATTAGTATTGTGTTAAATACTTTTAGGAGTATCTCAACTAACCAAACCAATACTCAGCAGACGATCCTATTTCAAAGGTTCTTGACATGACACGAATTCGAAAATTCCTTGGACATATTCCAGACTGCAAGAAAAACACAACTCCGATAATTTTACATGACACCAACCAATGACGTCTACGTACAAAGTAAGCACTCCATTTTGCTGTAGTCCATCCTAATAACAATGCCACGAAACTACTGACTACAGGATATGATGATAGTTAGCATAGATTTATTTCGTCAGTACTTTTTCGTTGTTATTCACATTATTCTTTATTTTAAATAGTCTATGCAATTACTATTATCGACTATAAATTTTTTGTTCCTGGTTGGCCTTCATCTTCCGTTCCCGTTTTGTACTCTCCTGGCATGACATATCGATTGTCGCTCACAAATACCCTGTTGCACACATCTTGTTCTCACTTACCAGCTGACACAACAACAGAACTCTAGCGTATTTGCTATCCTCACTGACAGATCACATTTATATTCTCATTACGTGGTTATTCTCGATACGCATCCTGAATCGTATCAATGATAATTGGGATAACTGTCTTCTTCCTATAATCGTAGATAGCAAGGTCAACGTTCAAACACGCTTCCTCCTGACAATTTAAGTGAAATCTCATATTTTTCTTTTTGTACACCTATATTTAGGTATGTTGTCGATTGTCTTCAACCTTTTTTTTAGCTTTATCATTATTTTGGAATTGATAATTTTTGTCAGCTACATAACTTTACCTAAAGGGATAGTTAAAAGTCTCAAGAAAAGTAATGCATTCGCTCTAATCCTCGAAATATAGGTCAAATTACGAGCTACTGGACATCGGTCTACAATGTTCTGGTCACCGTCTGTCAAGTGGGAATAGTAGATTCAGTTTAATTCCAGAGGAAACGACTTAC